AGGCTGCAAACTGACAAACTGACACTGTCAGACCTCAAAAAAGCATTACGAACAAACAAACATCTGGATCACAAAGCTGAAGGAATATGATGAAGATTTCCCCATCATATATAATATATATTCTAGACACACACACACACACACACACACACACACACACACACACACACACACACACACACACACACACACACACACACACACACACACACACACACACACACACACAGGGCGGAGCTCACCTGCTTGCGTACGTATCCCACCATGAGCTCCAGCTGCCGAGGGTCGTCACACTCGCAGTTGAAGAGGTTCCTCCACAGAGCCGCAGCCAGCACGCCGTCATCCGACAGGATGCCCTACAAAAGCCCCCGGGTACAGGGTCAGCTGATCCAGGGTCAGCGAGAGAGTGTGTGTGTGTGTGTGTGTGTGTGTGTGTGCGTGTGTGTGCGCATGCGTCACCTCGTCGTATCCAAAGATGGCGGCGTAGAACGTCTCCGTCATGGACTTCAATCCCTCCTTCCTGTGGCTGGCATCGATCTGAGAGTCATCATGCACGGAGAGGAACACGTTAGCACGCCAGCAGCTGCTAGCGGGTCACTGAGGAGGACGTAGAGACACCTAATAGGGTCTCTGTTAGAAACCTGTCACTCAGTGTGGCCCCGCCCTAAATAGTAGCCTGCTTCATGGTCTGTACGAGTCTCACTGGACCTTCATTTACAGTCCTCAACATTAAAAAGGAGGTGGTGAAAACCAGGGAAGGGTTCAATCAGTGGACTCACCCCCATGATCTTACTCCTCTGCTCCACGTCCTCCCACATGGAGTGGACGATGTAACGGCACATGTACTTCCCTTCTCTGCCCTCCTGACGCATACGCACCAAACACATCCTGCCGGGGGACACCGAGACGTGAGGGTGTGTGTGTGTGTGTGTGTGTGTGTGTGTCTCCATGTGTGTCACTCACCACACGTGTAGCTGCGCTACCAAGAACCAGGAGTTGAGTGTGTCGGGGAGGGAGCACTCTGAAACACAACATCTTATATCTTTATTATCATCATAATAACAACCACACGTAGTCCTGTAGAAGCAACGCTGCTCCGGCATTATGGGTAATATCAGAGAGCCGATGTCCCGGGTTTGGACCGGTGCGTGGGCCTTTCTCCCGACTGCTTCCAATGATTCATGGATTCACTTTCTCCCCTCAGTCGATGCGTCTAAATTAAGTTCCTATTTATCGTGGGAACTTTTATTTTGAAGGAAAAAAAACGTTGATCGACTCACTGTCAAAGAAGTCGTCGTAGTTGATCCTCTCGACACAGCAGGTGTACATGCGCAACGCAGCGATCTTGATTTTCTGTCAAGACAAAAGGGGAAGAAGTGAGCGACCAATGAACATCTGTCTAACTAAATATAGATGTTTGTATATAAATGTAGAGTCGATGCAGCTGAGCGGAGCCTGAACGCATCCTAATGCACCTGAAGGGAACCTCCGAGGGTTAGCCGCATGCTGCTAACGCTAACAGCTCTCCGCCTGTTGACCTAAACACTGATTGGTTGTTTACGACGTCACATGATAGAAGTCTATAAAAACAACAGTGATGTCATCATCTATCAGGGAGAAAACTTTATTTACAGCGAGCTGAACAGTGAAGCGCGTACCGGTTGATTGACTGTTCATGTGGAACAACGAATGTCGGCCATCAAGCTCAGATGTGAGTAGAAGATCTTCACGCTGACGTCAGAGCGATAAACGCCGGACCATTTGTGGTCCTTAGAGACGGTTCACACGTTAAAGCGTCTTTTAAAAGACCGAATGGACGGGTTGATGATGTCACAGCGGAGGGCTCAACGCTGATCGGCCTCAAAGAAACGCGTCTTTGTTTGGAATGAACTGGCTCCTTGAGACGTCTCGTCCCCCCCGTCCCTTACGTCTCTCCTCCCTTCACTCACCCATTTGTTGTATTTCAGCGTTCCCGTGAAGCCCATGGCCTCGATGAGCTTGGTGAAGGCGCCGACCTCCTCCTCCGCGTGCTGACGCGTCTCCTTCACGTTGCACAGCTGACGGACCAGATGTGGAAAGAATGTGAAAGCGTCCTCACGAGTACGAGTACTACACATGAGACAAATACTTCACAGTAAAAGACATCAATCAACCACCAAGACGATAAACTTTGTTCCTCCTTTCAACCCGGATAGACGGACACTCTGTTTCTTTATCATTTCACTGCAACATTTAGGTCAAGAAATGGTAGTAAAATATATACACAATATATTCAAAAGAAACTGAATGAATGCAGTGGAGTCATTTCACAATAAAAGCCTTAAACACAGTATTCACAGGAGTCTTTTGCATGGTTTGTTTTTAGAGGTAGATCGGGGACGCCTTTGTAAAGGTTGAAAGGACTAATAAAGTTTGCCCTTTTTTCCAGACTACAGAGGCTCATGTCGTTGAACACGATACCGAACGTTTTGAAGAAGTCACAACGTGATCGACCGTTATGACGCTCACAATTAAAAACCACATTTTTTTAAC